GTGGATTTCAGTCAATCCACCTGCTCTGCTCCCCACTCTGTCTCTGATGAATCCGCTCACTCCCAGCACCTCTGGCTTGTACCCCAGTTCTTGTATGTGTAAATAAATATATCTTTTTAAAAAGATAGTTTTTTGTTTGCTGTGGTCCAATTGGTCAGTCACTTATAATCTGCTTTTCATGTCTTACTCATAATTTCCTAACCCTGTATCATACAGTTTTCTAAAGAAATTTCTTTTAAATTTTACATTTTGTAAAACATTTATTTATAAAATTATTTAAAATTTATTTCTATATGTGATGCAGTGTAGAAAACAATTTTATTTGTTCAATATGTATAAGCAATTGTTCTTGCACCATTAATTGAATAGCCCATTTTTTCTACTCACTATCTCTAATGCTAGTTCTATCACATATCAAGGTTTCTTATATCTCAGATTTGTGTCTGGCTCTCTTTTCTCCAACTGAGTTGTACTCTTTTTTAATTACTAGTTTTTCAAGTCACGACATCTGTAGTACACATCCTTCTTATGTATTATTCGTAAATATCTTTATTAGTATTCATCCTTTGGTTTTTGTATGAGTTTTAGAATTATGTTGTTAAGTTCCATGAAAAATCCCATGGGACCTTTGTTGGCATTGCACTGAATATAGATTAATTTGGAGGACAGTTGACATTTTAAGTTAATGATGCTTCTTCTATGTAAAAATGGTACATATCTCCTTTACCCACCATCTTGCATCTCTAAGACTCCATTCTACAGAAATTCTACCATAATAAGCCAAAGAGTGTATTAAGTATTTAACTGGAGGGGTGTTCATAAAAGTGGAAAAAAATGAAGCATTGTTTATTAATTGAACAGGTAGATATTTTTATTAATCTAATATTTTTATTAACTAGAAGCTGACAGGACCAGGATAGGTATATTTTAAAATATCCAAACATTACTTGAATACAGAGCAACTAAAACTATTAGTTATAGTTCCATATACCAACATTTAATGGCAAGCGAACAATGTAAATTTTTTTAACTTTTTTTTTATTACAAAAGTTTATTTTTACATCATTTTGTACATTTTTTTTTTCCATCTCAATTGTAATCCCCGCGGGTTTCCCATCACCAAATCACCCGTGTGCCATCACCATAATCCCGTGCATTTCTCTCCCCTCACCCCGTTTTTGATCCCATTCCCCACTCCACCCCTGCAAAATGTCTCTGGTGTATGGTTGTTCATTATTTTTGTTATTTTCTAGCCTGGTCCATTATACTCCTGCTATGAGTGAAACCATCCGGTATTTTTCTTTCTCTTTCTGGCTTATCTCACTAAGCATGATCTTTTCCAGCTCCATCCAAGTTGCTGCAAAAGACATGTGTTTCTCTTTTTTGGTTGCTGAGTAATATTCCATTGTATATATGTACCACATCTTTTTTATCCAGTCATCTACTTTTGGGCATTTGGGCTGCTTCCATGTTTTTCCAATTGTAAATAAAGCAGCAATAAACATGGGGGTACAGGTATCTTTTTCAATCAGTGTTTTTGTGTCTTTTGGGTAGATACCTAGGAGTGGGATTGCTGGGTCATAGGGAAGCTCCATGTTTAGCAGTTTGAGGAACCTCCAAACAGTTTTCCATAGTGGTTTTGTACTAGTTTGCATTCCCACCAGCAGTGCAGGAGAGTTCCTTTTTCTCCACATTCTTGCCAACATTTGTTGTTGCTAGTTGTTTGAAGATGTGCCATTCTCACTGGGGTGAGGTGGTATCTCATTGTGGTTTTAATTTGCATCTCCCTTATTACGAGTGATGTTGAACATTTTTTCATATGCCTGTGCGAACAATGTAAATTTAGTAACATTTCAGAATACTAAATGTTTACTGTGAATCTAAAATTTTAAATACTAAATATTCATTATGAATATAAAAAGAAATAACAGCATATAAAAATGATATTGATTAGTGTTCAAGTTCTCTTTAGTAGTTACCTGTAGGCTATAATGAAGTTAAGCACATTTGAGTAGGTTTTTAAAATATTACTCAGCAATCAAAAAAGACAAACTCATGCCATTTGTAGCCACAGGAATTAAACTTGAAAAAATAATGTTGAGCAACATAAATCAGAAGGAGAAAGATAAATACCAGATGGATCACTAATATGTGGAATATAAAGTAACTAAAGTAATAGCCAGAAAAGACAAACTGAACACTGACTACAGAACTGAAGCACTAGGTGGGGCGAGGGGGGATGGGGAGGAGTGCAGAGAAGCAGGAGGCAAAGGGCACAGAGAGAAGGAGGCACAGAGGGCTACAGCAGTGGACAATGAGTGAGTTGGTGGGGCATGCACTATGGTGGTAATACCTGAGGGGATACCCTCATGTCCCCTCAGTTAAAAATTATTTTTTTGAAATGCACATCAAGATGTAGAATCAACCCAAATGCCCAAAAATAGATGACTGGATCAAGAAGATGTAGTGTATATTCATAATGGAAAATTATTCAGCAATCATAAAGATAAGTCATGCCTTTTGCAGCAACATGGTTGGTGCTGGAAGGGATCACGCTTAGTGAAATAAGCCAGAAAGAGAAAGAAAAATACCAGATGGTTTCACTCATAGAACTGTAATAAAGGAAAAATGAAAACCAATGAACAACTATACACCAGGGGCATTCTATGGGGTAGGAAGGGCACATGGGACTATGGTGATGGCACAGGGATGAATTGGTGGTGGGAAGTCCGTGGGGACTACAACCGAGATGAAAAAATGCAGAAAATGAAGACTGATGTAAAATAAATAAATAAATAAATAAATATATTTTAAACATTAAAAAATAGACATCAAGAACTATAAGTATTTTTGAGAATATTTGAAGTCAATATAGTCTAACAATAACATTTATTAAATTTGTTAGCTCCTGAATGTTTCTCATATCACTCACTCCTTTACATTCTGTACATTTCTAAGTAACAGTTTAACATACAAATAGAAATGATTTATTTTTCAAGTAAACAGTTTTCTTTTATATTTTCCAATGTCTTTTTATGTCCTTTGCTACTGATATCTTTTATTCAGCACAACAGTTTTGAGATTCACCATGTGTTGGGTTGAATCAGTAGCTGCCTTTGTACTGCTGAGTGCTGGATATTATTGTGGGAGGCAGATCTTGGTCTGCCGATCCATTTAACAGTTTATGGTTGTTTTCCAGTGATGACTACAATGAATAAAACTATTAAGAACCTTCAGATGATGAGTCTTTTGTGGACACATTTCCATTTCTTTTTTGTTTTTTTAATTCATACAGAACTGGGGTACAGGCCAGAGATGCGGAGGGTGAGAGGATTCACCAGAGACAGAGTGGGGAGCAGAACAGGCAGATCGACGAAGTACACTGCTGAGGGGAGCAGCGGGGGGGTCAGGAGAGGTCTTCCGCACCACGTGTATCTCCTTGGGGCAGGCGGGGATCGAACTCATGCAGAATTGGCTTAAGCTTTTTAGTGCAGTGCTTTAACTCGCTGCGCCACCAGGGAGGGCCCACATTTCCATTTCTTTTGGGTAGCCTCCCAGGAGTGGAATTTCTGGGTCATATAGTAAATAGATTTTTAGCCTTATCAGAAATTGTTGTTCTGTCTTATAAAGTGACTACACCATTTTGCAATATATGTAAGTTGTACTAGTCGTCTCATAGTCTCAACAACATTTCATCTACTTGATATTGCCAGGTTTTCTCATATTAGCCAGAGTGGTAACTTTGAAAAAGTTTTATTTTCTAATTTCTTTTTGTATTGTATAGGATTATTAATGCTTATTAGAAAGGTATTTTCCTTAAAGTTCAAGCAGCAACACTGATGAACTCCGTTAGTTAAAATGATTTGCCTAAATAAATAATTTTTTTGGCTTTCTATGTATCCAATAAGATCATCCACAAGTAGTGACATTTAATTCCTTCCAATGCTTAATCCATTTCTATTTTCTTGTCTTGTTGAATTGACAGTTCTCTCTCCAACATAATGTTAAATAGTAATTTGGAGAGCATGTACCCTCATTCATTGTTCAATAAAAATGCTTCCAAAGTTTCTACATATTATAGGATTTTGGTAGATATTCTTTTTTGATTAAACTTTCCCTCTATTCTTGGTTTGTTTAGAGGATTTTTCTATAAAGAGGTATTGAATTTCATTTAATTTTTGAATCTATCAAGATGAGTACATATAAAACTGCTTTCTGTTTAATCACCTTATGTAGTGACTTGTGATGGAACACCTGAAGTTATAATATCCTTTAATTTCAGGAAGCAAGCCCACTTGATCATATTGTATCATTTTGTAGACATTGTCTGAGTTCAACTTATTAATATTTTAATTAGGGCTTGTGCGATTCTTATCAAAAGTGAGATTGGCATATAACTTTTTATCTTTCTAACAAGCAGGTCTGGTTAGGGCATCAAGGTTGCCCTTTCCTACTCTCATAAAAAGGAACGTGGAGCTAAAAAGCTGTGTAAGTATAGCTTGTATCCTTGTGGCCCCTCCCCACCACTTTCTCCAGTAAAGGGCTATATACAATAAGTATTCAATTAATTTATTGACACGATTAGGCATGGACCAAAGTCACTGATTGAGAATTCATTGTGAATATTCAGAGATGAATCTATTCTAAATTTGAGAGACATGATTTTCCAAAAAGGAAAATAACCAGAGACCCTGGATATGGGGACTAAAAAGAGAATGAGGCACCTCCCCTTGTGCTAAAACTGTGGAATGGAGTTTCAGTATCAGACAGTCCTAAATTGATATCCAAGTTCTCTTGCTTATCGTCTATGTGACCTTCCCTAAGTAGCAAGCCTCTGAGAACCTTAGCCCCCTACCTATAAAATGTGAATATAATACATAACTTCCAGAATTTTAAAGAGGACTCAAGGCATAATATGCTGAAAATTTCTAGAATAAAATCTGAGAAACAGTCAATGGTAAAAAATATGTCACCTCCCTCTCCTTCCCTTCCTTTGGACATCATGAAAATCTGGGTATGAGGATAGAGAATTGTGAGGTCCTCTTGAAGATGTTTCCAAATGTTTCCTTCACATCCTTGTTCCTAAGACTGTAGATAACTGGGTTGAGCATGGGGATGACCACCGTGTAAAATACCGAAACCAGACTGTCCTTACCTAGTGTGTACTCAGTGGATGGACGCATGTAGACAAACACTGTGGTTCCATAGTACAGACTGACAGCAGTCAGGTGGGAAGCACAAGTGGAGAATGTTTTGTGTTTGCCTTTGGAAGAGGGGATTCTGAAAATAGCCAGGAAGACATATGTGTAGGAGACCAGGATGACTGTCAAAGATACAGACACATTAAAGCTACTACAAGCATAGAGGATAAATTGGACTATCTGTGTGTCAGAGCAAGAGAGTTTTAAAAGGGGTTGGATATCACAGAAGTAGTGAGCGATAATATGGGACTTACAGAAGATCAGATGAAAAATCGTGCTCGTGAGAAACACCATCTCCAATAGGCCCACTGCATAGCTGGCAGCCACTAGCTGCAGGCAGAGTCTTGAGGACATGGTAGTATGGTAGAGCAGAGGGTTGCAGACAGCCACATAGCGGTCATAGGCCATGGAGGCCAGGAGGAAGAACTCAGTGACAACAAAGACCACAAACAAAGCATTCTGTACCAGACAGCCAGAGAAGGAGATGCTTTGGCACTCAGAGAACCCCATCAACATTTTGGGGACTGTGACCGAAGAATAACAGAAGTCAAGAAAGGACAAGTTTTTGAGGAAGTAATACATAGGAGTGTGGAGTTTGGGGCTGACCGTGATGAGGGAAAGGAGGCCAAGATTTCCCACCACTGTGAAGGCATACACGAAGAAGAAGAGGACAAAGAGGATAGGCTGAAGTTGAGGGTCATCAGTAAGGCCCATAAGAAAGAATCCACTCCACTTGCTGGTGTTGCTTGCTCCCTCTGAGCCACTGCAAGTCTGCAAGAAGGATGTGCATGATAATAGTGAGACTGGGAGAACGGAAGTCCTTAAACAGAGAGCTGCAGGGTCTGGCCCTGGCTCCTGAGGCTGTAATACGGTATGTGCATTGACTTGGCAAAAATTTCATCCTGGCTCACTCGTCTCTTGTCACCCTCCAGGCTATTCAATGCACTTAAAAGTTTAATGGTATCTGAAGTAAAAAAGAAAGGGTCTGAAAGTGCTATTTATGGTCTCTCTGTCCTTGGACTAGTGTCTTAACCTCTGTGAGTCTCTCTGTAAAGAGGTATAGTGCAAATATATTGAATAATTGTGGTGAAATTAAAATTATTTCTTAATTATACCTCAATTTTAAAACACAGGATCAAGACGCCAATCCTGCAAGTCTGGTTATGAACACTGGAAATGTGATGGTGGGTGTTTATAAAATATCTAGCAAGGGATGAGAAGAAAAGCAGCTACTCACTGAATTCACCCTTCCTTCCTCCTTCCACACCCTTCTTCCTATCCCTGAATCTACCATCAGCTACACTTAGCCTGAGCATTAAATCAAGGACAATATTCTTTGATGTGGGAAGGACTGGAGAAACTTACAGTTCCTTTCATTATCAGTTGTGTGTTTCAGGGACAACAGCAGATGAGAACAAGGGGGAACCTCCAGTGTCAGATATATGTGAATTAGAATTCGACTCTTTGACTTACTAGCTGTGTGACCTTGAGTAAGTTACTTTACCTCTCTGAGCTTCAGTTTCCTCATTTTTATGAGTAGAATACCAAATATTTCTGACTATTAATTTTCTCTGGTGATGAAATGAGACACTTCACGTAAAGCAGTTAGCACAATGTCTGGCACATACCAAGCACATGATAACTGTTAGCTAGCATTAAGGTTAGAAAACACAGTAATATGAAAAGCAGTCAATAGTTGGTTTGCTTAACCCTCAAGCAAGCCCTTTTGAGATACTGCCACTTGCCCCTTGTCAAGTAAGCAGTCAATAGTTGGTTTGCTTAACCCTCAAGCAAGCCCTTTTGAGATTCCGCCACTTGCCCTTTGTCAAGTATCCCTTATTAACCGAGATCCTGTTAGTAATTATTGAATTGTAATTCTCTAGTGTGTTGAGGTAGTTAATAGGGTGACTACATAGACTCTCATTTAAGACCATTTTAAATATAGAGAACCCACAAACTGTGGCCTCAAAAGTGGAAGGACATTGCCCCTATCTGCTCTAGGTTTTGTCAGTGCCTGAACTGAACTCAGGGTCCTGTCTACAGTGTTCTTTCACTTGGAGGCATTAACAGCCTCAAGAAACATGGAATCTTTGTCCCCATCAGAACACAGGGGACAGCTTCATCCTTCAAAAATCACAACATTAATTCTGCTTAGGGTCATGCCTATACTTTCTATTAATCAGGAGATTTTCACCGTCTGACTGTAGTTTATTTTAATACTGTTTTTCCACTTGGGAGCTGAGATACTGAAGGACAAACTACAGCCTCACATCAAGGATTTGTATCATTGGATTTAGAGTCACCCACCAGGCTATGAGCTCTGATTCCATATGATTTTTAGCCCCACAGCCTTTAGTAAGTCCTTTCTGAACCATAGGCTCTTCATCAGTGAAATGGGAATAAATTGCACCTGTTCTTTTGGTCTCACAGGACTGCTGAGAAGATCTAGTAAGTGTCTCTAGGAAATACTCTGTGAAGTAGAAATATAGTCAGGGCAGATACTCAGGAAGCATGCACGGGACTAGCCCAATATTTTTTTTTTAAGGTTCCATGGAAATTGTTAAATTGGTGTCCTAGTGCTCCCTTCTCCTGAGTGTAACCTTGGCACCTGCCAGCCCACCTTGACTTTCACAACATTGGCCTCCATCTTCTTGTAGGTTCCAAGACAGACCCTGGAAGAGAAAACAAGATGAGCATGTAGCAAAATGAAGGAAATGCCCAGTGCCTATCAGTTACTCTGAGGATGTGGCTGTCTGCTTTGGTTAGCATTCTGTTAAAGTCACCTCGCTTACCATCTTTTGGGAACTGAAATTTCACAGCATACAGTACTTAAAAAAAAAAAACTTCTAATATTATTCTAAATATGGTAATAGCTACCAGTAATAAAGTACCTAATAAATGCTACACATTTTGTTGGGTGATGATTGATATAAAACATTTTATGTCATCTCCCTTGGGAAATATCATCTATTATCATTAAATGAATATCGTCATGATCAGATATAGGGGTATCAGTATCCACTACAATTATTATTGCCTTGCTACAAGGTAGTCAAAGCTCGGAGCATCCCAATGCCTCGCTGATGGTCCCATAACTAGTTTAGTGGCAGAATCTACATTCAAATGGAGTTTACAACGTTCTGGTGCTACTGTTTTATCTATGCTGTCATTTCTAAATATAGTCATATAATTAGAGATTATTATTAAAGTTTTTTCCAGATTTTCATTTGCAAATCTATTGTTTCCTTGTTATTGTACTAATCTTAAAAATAATCAAGATGGTTTCCTCTCAATTTTATAGATGATGAATCAAACACTATGGAAGACATAGGAGCATTGTCCTTGGTCTTCCATGTATTCATTTATTCAGTGAATACTCACTGGATATCCGGTGTGTTCCAGCCAATGTGCTAGGCACTAAGAGTACTTTCATAAACTTTGCAACCTAGAGGAAGAGATGGACAACAAACGCAACGAATAAAAATTTTAATAACTAACATAAATGTAGTTTCTTTTTAAAGATTTATTTATTTGTGCATACAGAACTGGGATACAGGCCAGAGGTGCAGGTACAGTAGGAGGATTCAATAGAGACAGAGTGGGGAGCAGAACAGGTAGATGGACGAAGTACACTGCTGAGGGCAGCAGTGGCGGGGGGCGGCATCAGGAGAGGTCTGCTGTGCCATGTGGATCACCTCCAGGGCCAGGGATCAAACTCATGCTAAAGTGACTTTAGCTACTCAGTGCTGTGCTTTAAACTGCTGTGCTACCAGGGAGGACCCCATAAATGTAGTTTTAAAGAAAATAAAACAAACGAATAGAATAGATAGAGCTGAGGGTTTGGCATGACAACATTAGGTAGCGTGGAAGGGAAATCCTTTCTGAAGAGTTGACATTAAGGTCTGGCATCTGCTTGGACATGAGCTATTCATACAAAGATCCAGGTTACACAAAGATGCTTAGCAACACTGTTGGGAATAGAAACTGGGTCTCCTAAATTCTATCCAGGACTGCTCTCTCTGATTGGAAGTGTAGCCCAAGTAGAGGCTAACTGGGGAAGATTGGTTATGCTGAACATTATAACGTCTATCTACACACATCTCTGCTCTTTATCACCCACCTTTCTTCTCTGAATGTCTCTAGATGTCATGAGTACTCACCAGCCTCTCTCTCTCTCGTCTGAACTCATCCAAAATTCCTCAGACCAGTGTTGGTAGTTGAGCTCTTTCCAGATGTTTCCTTGGCAGGCAAGAAAAGTTCATGTGCCCATAACATTAAAGACTCTGGAACTAAGCTTCTAGTTATACAGCCCCTCATTTCTCTGGGCTTGGCCATGTCTATGTAATTGGCAGAATCATTTATTTAGCAAAGTTTCTGCCTTCTTGACTGGTCTCCTGAGATGCTGAGCACAGTAAGCCCAGGGGCTAAGCAGCTGTGACGTCCAAGATGGCTGGAGCAGTGAGCAGAGCCAGCCCCAATGGGATGTTTTTACTGACTCATACTGAGTTTGGGGACCTGTAGTCAATACTGATGAGATGTTTTGTAAACAGTTGCGAGAAATGAATTGACTATGAGATGTATTGTGCTATAAACTTTTTATCTAAAATACATTATTAGTCATATTAAAAAATCTCAGTCACAAGTAAAATACAGTTGTTTTCTCAAACATAGCATATTAGCAATTATGGACAAAATGACAAATACATAAGATGGTATATATTTCTCATATCACCTTGTTTACTCAAATCTTCACTCTGATCATAAACTGTAAATTATTTTTAAACAGCAAATAACTATCGAATTAGTTGTGGTTAACAAAATCTCTGAGTGCCGCTCAGTGTTGTAATAAAGTATTCTTCCACCTGAAGTTTATGTGGTGATCAGCTGCCTTCTGCCATATTTTTCCTTTTTTTTTTTTATCAAACCAGATTTGATTTGTGGAAGTCTTGTTTTTATGCATGTTTTATTTTTCCATTCGATAAATGTTTATTAAACATCCATCATGTACCTGCCATTGTGATATGAGCAAGGGCTATAAAATCAATAGTAAATGAATAATACCCTCCATGTACCCTCCATTCCCATTCCCAGTGCATCCACACCTGTGAGTGTGCACATATACACAAAAGCTCGCATTTGGAAAGCAAAACCAGCCTCATGTCCTTTGGTACAGGCTCATTAGCAGCTGTTACAGAAAATACCAAGTTGTTATGCATTTTAAGGGCTAAAGCTATTGATTTTAAAGCAAGAAAATTGTTTAAAAGTAGACTTTATGGACATGTCTCTTGTGGGCAGATTCATTTAATTCTGTTGCTTGGCTATGCAGAATTTTGTAGTTATTTTAAGTAGAGAAATTATTCTTTTCTTTCAACTTAAATTATGATACATTATGTGATATTTGAACGAGTTTATGAGCTTCTGCAATGGCATGATGGGCTGACTCTATGTATTGAAGAACGCTGTCCCAAATTTAATTATCTTGGGACATCACCACTGCATTGAATAAAATGAGCCTTTTTTTTTTTTTTCACCATGACTGCAGCCTTTGCTGAAATGGAGGTTATGGGATAACAACTTAAAGGCTAACTCATTAATGCTCAGGGATGAGTGAGGTAATGTGCCAGCAGACCAAATTGGTGCCCCACTGTTTTCATCTAGAGACCCGTATCTCTTTCCCGTATTGTGATATATTAATGGGGATGTCTTTATCCATTGTCACTGCCCATAGACATTTGAATAACGTAGATGCAATACCTTCTGGGTATCCAGCCTTGTTCACTATCAATTTCTCAAACTCTGAGGAGTTCGCAGAGGCTTGGAGCGAAATTCTGATGGTGCCATAAAGTGCTTAATTTATAGGGATTCAAACGATGGCATCAGTGCAGTCCCTGCTTCCCCCCCTCCCCATAGGAGTTTGTTAATGAGCACTGTGCCACCCCTAACTATTTGATGGGGCAATGGAGTAAATTAGTCCTCCGAATTGTGAGGGCTGTGGATTTATGCCTTGCTGAAAGCATTTCTGTCCTCTCAATGTCGGAGCGGGTGACCTTTCTGGCGTTAATTTGTTTCTCCATCTGTGCTGTGCATTTCGGGAGGACGTGAGGAACAGTCTTGATGTTACCCAAATGTGTCTCCTCTTTTTGTATTGCTGTGCAGATGACTTCAAGGAGGAGTCGCCAATCCTGGTGTCAGATCTTCAGATCGTGGGGAATCTCCTTTCAGCACTGAATGAGGGCAGGACATCTGCCGTCATGCGGACTACAACATATGGGGGAGGGGCTATTATGTCCTTACCGTGCACGTACTTCCTTAATTATGATGTCATCCTGTTTACTTGCTGTCCTAGATGAAATTTTATGTAACTTTTACCTGACTTCTGAATGTGTATTATGTAGCTCAAAAGTTTCAGCTTCATGTCACGTATTTTAAAAGATTTATTGAGCTAGTCAGAACAAGGAACTGTGTTAAGTTCAATCACAAAATGTTATGTTAGTCTTATAGCAACCCTATGAGGTAGATACTATATTTATTCCTATTTTGAGAATGTAGAAAGTGAAGTTCAGAGACAGTAAATAATTTCCTCAGGATCGCGCAGGTGATATGAAACTAAGCTGGGAATGTTACCTAGGTTTTTCTGACTAGAATCTATCAGTCTATGTTCTTTCTGTCATAGCACATTGAAATCATCCTTTAAAAATATAATCACTAATCAGTGTAGTCCCTTTTCTTTAACACTAGTGCTTCTTAACACTGGTTGCACATTAAAATCACCTGGGAGCTTTAAAATATGCCATATCCATGTACTATTCTGTTCTAATTGGTCTGGGGTGGGAACTGGACATTCATTTTTTTTTTAATCTCACAGATGACTCTAACGTATCACCAGAGGTGAAAACTGCAATTTTAGTATTTCATGCTGACTTCCTTTCATGTCCCGTTTGCAAGTAGCATACTTAGGCCTGGTTACCTGATATACATAGGGTTTGAAGAATAATTTGGAGCTTTTACTCAGTACAACAATTAGGAAAGGATCTTTGCACAATTATTAAGAATAGTTGCCCTAGAACCCTCACAAATGTTTCCTTATCTACAGAACTTTGACATCATGGTGATCTTGGACAAACTCCAGGAATCCATGAAATAAAAAGCATTGTAGAATTGACTGCAGATACCATTCTCCACAAGCAGATCTGTAGAGACATATCCTCAATTAGAATTCACAAATACTAATCAGATACTTTCTTTGAGGGATAATCTCTCTCATTATTTTATACAACAAACTTTATTTGAATATCTCCGTGTGGCAGAAACTGTTAGTGATTGCAGACCAGGGTGAAACTACTCCATGAATAGCAGTTGGAATCGTGTGCAAAATTTTGTGATTGTGAAGATTACTGAAGAAGTGGTGATATTAAGTCACAGATGACTAGGGATGCAAAATGCCCTATAATGCTGAAAAGAGGCTTATAAATTCTAACAACAAGGATATTCTCACTCCAAATGCCAAAACAACTCTGATGACAAATAATCATATAATAACCAGGTCCAAAATTTGACTTCTGATTCTTTAATGACTTTGGTATGATCATCATCCCTTTGCTGTTGAGTCTTTTTAAAATGACTTTTCAGTCAGTTAATTGGTCAGTCAGCATGATATTATCACAATATTATTTTACATTGGAGCTTTTAATAGGAACTGAACTATGTCAAAGGAAAAAGAGATAGTCTTAAGCTCCAGAGAGCTCACAGTCTAGTGGGACAGACAAAATATACACTTGAAAATAGGATTTGAGAACATCCTTCCAGACAACATACCAACTAGTCCCTATTCATGCCAAAGGTACAGTATCATAATGAAATTAATGTACTCTTCAGAGTCAAATAGAACATGGTTCAAATTCTAGTCACAAAGTTTTGTTTTTGTGTGTCATGGGATTGATAGTTTTCTCATCTGTAAAATGAGATATTCACCTTGTAGAGTTTAAATAAAATGTTACAAATAACTGTCTAGGACAGCACTTGTAACAGAAAGTGCTCTGTAAACATTGTTTCATATTGTTAAGAACATAATATAATGAAAAGTATTTGCTTGAACAACATCATCAACTAACTGGAACTAATTGAAATTTAGAGAACATCCAACAATACAGAATACATTTATCAAATAGTTCGTATCTTGGGTTATAAACATTTGAAAGGAATTTAAATCAGATAAAATATGGCCCCTAATTATTTTTATTTAAACTAAGAGCAATAAACAGTAAAACAGCAACAAAATTTCCAATCACTTTGAAATTCAAACTGATCTGTGAATCAAAATAAGTCTCAAAGGAAATTGGAAATTATCTGGAATAGAATGAAACTGAAAATGCAATTTACCAAAAGGGTTGGATTTAAGTGAATGTATACTTTGAAATTCATAACATTAATTATCTGTATTAATAACTAAAACATCTCAAATTAATTACTTTAGTATTTGTTTGGGTAACTATTAAAACAATAGCAAATTATACCAAAAATAAGCACAAGGAAGGAAATAATAAAAAAGCACAAATCAATGTTTTTTTAAGGAAGAAAATTGAGTGAAATTCTGAAATGAATAGTAAAATTGATAGTTCTTTATCAAAGAGAGAAAATGCATATTACAATGTCAGGAATGAAAGAGAGAATGGTGGTACAAACTTCAAAAAATATGTCCTTAATTTTACCCAGTGCCTTCTTGCTCATCTTTGATTCTGAAATATCTTTCCTTTTCATTGTCTTTCTATTTAGGTAGCATTAGCTTTCTGTTTAGGTTTCAGGTGTACAAATGCTCACCTCACTAACTGTCTATTTCACACCACATCTACCACCAAAGTTCCAATCAGACAAAGCTATTCCCTCCCCACTCCTTCCTCACTGATAACCACCATTTTTGTTGTTAGTCTAAGAGTTTGTTTTTTCTTTGATTGTTTTACTATTCCTTTATTTATTTTAAAGGAATAATATTCCTTTATTTATTTTATTTATTTATAAGTAAATTAGAGAGAAGTCACGGGTTGGAAAAGAAGAAATGGTTTCCATTTGTATACAACATAATTATCTACTTCAAAAACCTCAGGGAATCTTAAATGAAAACTTCCTAGGACAAATGAATGAGTTTAGCAAGGTGGCAGAATACAAGATCAACATGCAAAATGTAATTGTGTTTCTAAATTTAAGAAACAACTATAAATGTAATGAACAATTGGAAATCAAAAATACATTGCATGTCATTTAAAATGAATTCAAAATGAAAAAGTAAAATATTAACATTACAAAACTTGTGAAAGATATGTTTGCCAAAAACTACAGAGTGGTGATTATAGATATCAAAGAAGGTATACGTGAATGGTGAGACATATCAAGGGCTGCATTGGCGGCTTCAAGGTAATACAGATTCTAACACTCTAAACTGACTTAATGCAATAGCAATGAGAATCCTGGCAGGTTTTAGTAGTGATAATAATGACAGACACTAGTAATTTCTAAAGTTCTGCATTCTAAAATGTATGTGAAAGAATAATGAAAACAAAAGAGCTGAAACAATTTAGAGAAAGAACAAAATTGGAGACCTCATACTATCAAGTTTCAAGCCTTATTATAAAATCACAGTAATGAACATGTTGTACACTGGAAAAGGAATAAACTCTTGATTCAATAGACTGGAATAGAGTTCAGAAATAGATCACACAAATATGGCCATTTGATCTTTGACAAAGGTTTAAAAGCAATTCAATTGGTAGTGTTTTGAACAAATGAAACAAGATGTACAGTCTTTCACATGTAATAAAGTAAAAAAGAACCCTGATCTCATCTTCACACCTTGTACAGACTAACTCAAAATGGTATAAACATGAACATAAAACATAACAAACTTTCAAAAAGCAGAAAAACGTATGTAACCCAAATTTAGGCAAAAAATTCTTAGAAAGGAAAGATAAAGACACTATCATGAAGATGAAAAGGCAAACTAAATGCTGGGAGAAAGTGTTTGCAATTCATATACCCAACAAAGGACTGGTATCTAAGACATATAAGTAACTCTGAAAAATCAACAGGAAGAAGCAATTCAATTAGAAAATGGACAAAGACATGAACAGACATTTCACTGCAGATGATATACAGATGGCAAATAAGTACAGGAAAATATATTTAATACCACTAATCACCAGAGGGATGCAAATGAAGACCAAGATAACAATATAGATGTATTAGAAATGTCTTTTTACATACTGTAATATAAGTTCTGTGCAAATGTAAAGCAACTAGAACTTTCATACATTGTTTTAGGGAAGGCAAAATTGTACAGTCACACTAAAAATAGACTGGGATGTTTCTTCTTATCACATTAAACATGCAGTTTATATATGACTGAGCAATTCTTAATTTTTCTCAGAGAAATGAAAACATATGTTCAGAGAAAAAAACCTGTATATGATTCTTCATAACATCTTTATTCACAACACTGAAAAAGTAGAAGCACCTACACATCTTTCAGTGGATACATGGTGAAATATGCTGTGGTACAACCATACAGTGGAATACCACTCAGCAAAAACAACAGGTTTCTGCACTAGAGGATCTTAAAAGCTCAGAAAAATGTATATGGGTGTTAAGAGTATATAGTCAACAGAATACACACTTTTAACTACATCACTAACTCATGATTCAGACAACCTTGTTGTGGATTATACCTTCTGTATTGTGGAATAGAAGGACTTGGGGAATAGAAAAACATTAACCAGGGAAAGTCACCAGATATTTATGGAGTGCCTCTGAGCTCACGCAGCGCACTAACTTAGCAATGGGAACTTATGTACTTAAAATTTATTGTACAACAAGGAAATGTATAAGAGATTGCAGAAAGGAATCAGGTACCAGTCATGCAGAGCTTATAGATTAAGTGCACTCATAACAAGTTGAGTGTAAAGTAAATAGCCTATCATATATAAAATCATATTTTCTCACTGACTTCCATGACTGGAGAGATGTAGGATTTTTATTTCACCTCAGCTAAAATAAACATCACATTTCAGGCTTCAAATGGTTGATTCAAACAGCATGCTGCTTTTGTTGATCTACATGAAGCTTAAGTTTTTCACAATCTCTGTCAGATTGTGTCCAAATGGTCAATCAAGTCACTTAAAATTTCAAGGTCTTTTAAACACTCTGTGAGTGATATAATACCAACCAAATTCCCATTTGATGGATCTCAGGCCAGAAATATGGAAACAGAACAAGCTCTGAAAAAAGAATGATAGCTATAAGAATGATAGAATGCCTGCCTTCCTACCTTACCATCTTTGTAACCTCTGCATTTCACCTGAGTCTTATTTGCCTGTGTAATGGATGTGGTTCCATGGAATTGTGATATATAAGGAAACTGCTATTGTCTTCAAGCAGCTATTATAAAAGGTTGTACATATACAAGTCACATAGAAATTTCTGGGGTCAGAAAAAATAAAACATTAAAAAAATGCATATTAACATTTTAATGACAATGATTTAAAAATACCACTCACCTTCAAGCAAATCTTTCATTGATCATAGTGTATTAAAAGCAATACCTTTGATGCAAATTGTGCTATCTCAGTTAACTTCATAAAATGTAAATGTAAATTGTCCACATTAGGGTATTTGTAAAAAATATTGCTTAGTTTTTAAGTAAGGCCTTTACCCATGCCTCCGAACTTGTAATGAAAATTTCATCTGAGGAGGTGAAAAAGAATGATGGATGGATTTATTTAAAAAAAAATTGTATGAAAAATGTGGTACCAGAGGGAATGGGAAGAGGGAAAAAGGGGAAGGGGAGGAAGGGGAGAAAGCATTGGAATAGAGGTTTGGTGGAGGAAAAATGAAATATGTGTACCCATAGAGTAGCAAAAAAGTAACTCCAAAGTTATACAAACATGTAAATGACTGAAAAATAATATAAATAAATAATATTTATATGTATAACTAAATAGCTCCTCAGATCTTCTGGCTTGGCATGAAAATGACTTCACTGGAGAACCAAGAAAAACACTCCCTTCCTAGCAAGTAACTACCTCATGATGGCGCGATAGGGAGAAGTGGTTCTACAGCATAGGTCAATAGTCATATGGAAGCTCATGGTGCTTAAAGCTGAAAGTCATGTTTCAAAGGTCACCTCAAAAGAGAGAGAGACCTCACCAAAGTTAGCAGAAGTGGGTGCTGAAGGAAAGGAGCATAAGATGCTGGAACGTAAGACTCAGGAGAACTGCTAAGTTGGTAGTTTTAATATATAATTGTTTCAACCAAATGCCAATTGAATCTCTTAGACTAGTGACAAGGGGGAACACAGGGTCATAGTTGGTGATATAGTCATCAGGAGACATTGTACCAAGAGAAAGCTTTGTGATACATCAGATGCTGAAGAATCTCATCTGTGTTCCAGGACCTCAGAAAAACAGCAGTCCTATGTTTGAAAGTCTGTTTTCTAGAGCTCTCAGCATCGAGTGAATGGTAGAAATCTAGGCAGAACAAACAAGTTGTGACGGATTCCAGTGAGGATTACCACACCAAGGTTCTCCATTGCGATGGGCGGTAGGCAAGAGCCCTGGCAGGCGAAACGCATGCGATTCTGGGAAGTAGCCATTGTTGCTTGGAGAAGTTTTGCTGCCGAATTGGTATTCCCTTCCCATGGCTTCCAAAAGGCATCTGAGACAGAACTCCCAAGGTACACACTCAGGACTTTGGACACGATGAAGACCCTCAGAACTAGTTTTGGTTCTATTTCCCAATCCTAAAGTTCAGTTCTCACCCTTTTACTTCCTTCTCAATAATGCCAGGTGTTTTCCCCTTCTTTACCAACAATCTTCAGTTTCACAACATGGCATTGAAGGGTCTTTCCACAATCATTTCTTAATATTTTTTGCACCCTAGGATTCAACTGTCCACATAGACAAAGTTCACAACGAGACTTTCAGTCAGTATGAATCATGTTCTCTCTGTGGCTGAAGCATAAAAATGTCAACATGAGGGATAAGAGAGATAACCACCTGAGCTTAATGTTCCGTCCCAGGTGTAGGTGAGCAGAGCCTGCAGGGAGTAGAGAAGAGACACCTGACCACCGATGGGAACTGTTGGTTTTCAGACTAGGCTGCTGGGCCAGCAACAGGACTGCTGACTACACGCTGGTGCCTGTAAGGTTTTCTTGACCCAACCATTGAGAATGCTTCAACTTCTCTCTTTGAATCAGTTCCAGCCTCTGCAACTTTAGGATGACTTACTTGCTTTTATGAATTTCCCTTTCCTTTTCTACTCAAAAGCCCAAACCTTTCTTTAAGCTCTAGCTTAAAATTCTCCCTTTCACAAGAGGCATCTCTGAGCACTACTCCCTCTTTGCAAACCTACTCTCCTTTCCTTACTGTCTTAGTCTCTCACTGATTTCTCTTCTTCAACCTGACCTTTAATTTACTCATTTATATGTTAAATTAATTTCCGATGACACTTACTGTGTTCCTGTGTGTCATGGCACGGGCTGTGCGTATAGTCCATCATACCGTGTCTAGCCTTTCCCTCACTCGTCTCCTCTCCCCCTGCCTGCCCCTGTTCTCCTCTCACTCTCTCCTCTGTGCTCTCCCAATAGAAAACGTCTTGGTTCTTTTCAATTGCTTGAACCAACTACAAAGAGTTGATGATCCCAAATCCCTAATTTTTGCCTAAATGTTTCCCCTCCTCTTTAGTCCAGTTTCTATTTGCTTTCTGGGTATTTTTCCTGGATATCATAGAGTCACTTTAAGATTAATGTAACCCAAGTCAAATACTCTCTCCCTCTTTTAACCTGACCTTCTTCTATTCCTCATTTCCATTAACTACCTGTTGTATCAGTTCAGCAGTATCAACATCCCTACGTTTAACCCTTATTTCTAATCAGTCACAAAATTTTGATTATTCAGCCTTCCAAAAGGTTCTCACATGTATTTGTCTCCATCCTTCCACATCTTACTGTTTCTGCTGCAGGTCTGACTGATGTCAGCTCAGATACAGGCTACTGTAATTAATTATCTGTCTTCCCAGGTCTCTCTATTCCATCTTCCACATGCTCCTAGAGTTATCTTGCTAAATGGGTTCGACCATGCATTCCTCTGCTTGGAAATATTTACAATTCTCCACTGTATACAATGTAAAGTCCAACCAATTTAGCATAGCATTCCAGGCCAACACAATCTGGGCCCAAATCAATTTTCCAGATGTACTTCCCATCATTCCTTCCATGTGCCCCACACTCCAGCTCCACTTGATTTACAGTTCTCAAGTACATGAACATATAATAGGAAGTCCTTTATTTTAATATTATTTTAGTTCATTGTTTTAAGGTATTTATATACATCTTAAGAGCAAGGGCTGTGCATTATTTATCTTTGTAGCCCCGATGTTTGCCACGAGTAGATCTCAATGAATAGTACATAAATTCCCAAATGAATGACAGCCTGGGACTGAATTCCACTCTGCTTTCTGCTATGGGAACTGTGGCCAGTTACCTGAAATTTCTGAGCTTTAGTTTCCTCATCTGTAGACTAGACATAGCAATAATTGCCACCCAGTCCTATAGAATTTGAAAGGCATTATATCCTTTTAAGTCTTTTCCTGTCTAGCTTCTCAGAACCCTACCCTGCCTTTGGCAGACAGTGGCAGAAGCAACAAAGAGAGGACTGTGAGGCCAAACCCCAAGCAGCAGCTGCAGTGCGCCTGTCTCACAGCTGCTGCCCAGGCCCTTGGGAACTTTGTATTGTTAACCCTTTGGGTCTACTTCTTGAGAACCCTATAGTTTATTCAGTCTTCTAGCTCTCAGTTTCTTGGTGTCGGGGTAAACAACTCAGCTTATTCACCTACTATCTGCTTTATCTTTCCTGGGTATCTGTTTACAGACTATCGATAAGACAAAACTCTAAGCAAGACTCATGAAATGACTCTTGAACTTTCCTTATCTTAATGGCTCTCTTGTAGACAAGTTTTTCTCCGTGAACACAATGGTGTGGATATGGCCTGAAACTTCTGTTCTTTAGGACGTTCAGATTCTATTCTTGATAACCCAACTTGTATGGCTTTATTTAGCAATCGTGTAACACTACTGCCTCTCACATCAGCTTATGAACAAGAGAAAAACCCCAGGGTACTTTCACACCAATTTAATGCCATGACAAATCATCCTGTATTTGTGTAGCTGATGCTCAGAATCTTGAAGGAGAACTATGAAGCTATTACTCTCCACTCATCTCTCCAGTCTCCCAACAATTGTTCTAGGACGAGCCTATTATCCACAGAACTTAAAATTTAACATTTTAACCATTTCAATATATGTATTCAATGTTATTAATAACTTTACATGCTGAGAAATTTCAAGCCTATAGAGAAGTACAGTAAATGTCCATTCATTCCTCACCTAGAATCACTCTTTGCTAATATATTTTTCTCAATCAAGAGAGAAAGAAAGAAGAGAGAGAGGTATAAGTAGTTATGGACTAATTATTTGTGCATCTTTTTCTCCATTCATATGCTAAAATCCTAATGACCCTGTGGTGGATTTAGGAAGTGGGACTTTTGGAGGTGCTCTGGTTATGAAGTTGGACTTCTCAGGAATGGAACTGATACTCTTATTAGACAGGAGAGCTTACTCTCCTCCTATTGTTTACCACATGAGTACATGGTGAGAAGGTGTCCACCTACAAATCAGGAAGGTAGTTCTCAGAAGAGAACCTGCTGGCATCTGGATCTTAAAAACCCCCAACCCAGGCCCTCCCTGGTGGCGCAGCGGGTTAAAGCACTGCACTAAGAAGCTAAAGCCACTTCCGCATGAGTTAGATTCCCGCCTGCCCTGGAGGAGATCCACATGGCATGGCAGACCTCTCTGATCCGCCCGCTGCTCCCCTCAGCAGTGTACTTCCTAGATCTGCCTGTTCTGCTTTCTGCTCTGTCTCTGGTGAATCCTCTCACCCTCCGCATCTCTGGCCTGTACCCCAGTTCTGTACGAATAAATAAATAAATATTAAAAAAAACCCAACCCAAAGAAATTAATATCTGTTCTGTAAGTCGCTCATTTTATGGTGCCTTGTTAGGGAAATGACTAAGATAGAAATGTATGTAATAAGCACAGATATGTCTGTTACATATATTCATTACATATGGCAGCAATTTTCCCTGCACTAAGAATTTATGAAATATGGCCCAGTCTTTATGCAGCTAGTAATTTGTTTGGGGGAGCTGCTAATTTATCTTTCTTAACATATCACCTAATTTCTAGCTTTTATTTTACCCAGATGATTGCCATGGCTCTCCAGTCCTCAGTGCTCTGCCCACTTCTCCCAGCCTTCTGGAGCTCTAATGAAGCCTCCATAATATCATCAAAATGATCTTTTGGAAACTCTATGGTCATTTTCTCAATCCTAGAAGCATCTTAAAAATTCCCAGGGACAAGAAAAATGTCAAAACACAGACCAATTAAGAATCTCATGACTGAGTCACTGACATCCATAGTTTTGAAGATACTCAGATGATTCTGATGCACAGCAAGGGTTGACAAACACAGGACTAAATTGGTTTTTACTCTCCACTGAAACTCTACCCCCTTGCATTCCATTGACCCAAACCCCTTTGCACGGCTACAGAGCTTCCAAGAGGTTCCTCTCTTAACATTCTTCATAGCCCTGTGATAGATAATCTAAATAAGCTGTACTGCTTCATGCCTTTCTAATTCTTTATACACTGTATGTTCTTCTCTGTGGAGTAACTTTCCCTTTGGTAGCTACCTGTCAAAAGATTATCTAGCCTTCCAACTAAGCGACACCTACTCTATGAAGGTTGCCCTGAATTTGTTACTTCTGTAGCTGATAGAAATGTTTATTATTACTTATTATAAAAAATAAATCATAAGCATGTGTTTATAGACCTAAACTATGAAGTTGCTGGGGACTGGGAATGTGCTTTATTTATCTCTGTATCCCCAAAACTTTGCCACTAGATCTGGCACGCACTAAGTATTCAAAGCATATTTGTAAACTGAATTAGTTTTTAGTTAATTAAAAATTATTTCAACATCTGTAAGACTAAAAAAAAAATGAGGAAGAAACAATGAGGCAGATTCCAAAGAAGTAGTTTTTCAATTGAAAACACTCAGTGAGAGGATCCCTGTTCTTGGGAAGAAGGGGTTTTGTCTGGAGAAAACTAGGCTGTGCTAGGAAGAAGGATAACTAATTCCACATAGACAGGCAGCCAAGAACAGGCTGTGGCCAAAGTGTTGATGGATGACAGCTGGAAATATGGCTTGTGAACCAACTAAAAATGACACATCAATCTGAGCTGCAAAATAAATCATTGGGACTCCAAAGGCTTTTGTTCACTTTAAAATCTCACTCTACATGTGCATTTAATAAGGACACTTCATATTGTCACAGAACTTTGTGAATTTATACCTTACACATTTATGTACATGATCTCATTTAACTTTTCCAACAAACCTATAAGGAGAGCATTAAACCCTGTTTTAAGATGGAAAATTTGAGACACTAAAAATTCAATAACTAATCAAAGGTTACACAGATGATGAATGATTGAGACAGAACACAAATATCCTTGAGATAACAAAGGGAGAAGCAG